GCGTGATCCTATGGTTAAGTGCTAAGTATGAAAGTATTGTGAACAAGTTAAGTTGTTTATTCAGCAAAAACCTAAAGTCCCACCTGCATCTGATTTCTATCACTTGAAATTGTTTGTATTAAAGTTTAGATTCCTTGAAGTCACATCACAGGCAATTTAAAAATGTCATCTTGGAAAAGACTTAACAAACATGAGTGCATTTCTGCAACATAGAGAAGACATACGCTGTAACTCCCTAATAACATCATGGACAGTTTGAGATGCTGGACAATATGATCAACAAGCTAACAGCCCAGGTGAGGAATGTAAGGGACTTCTGGAAGTGTACAGTTGTGGATTTCACAGAGACAACACTACAGGAATTATCCCAGACCTCGTTATTACTTGGGATTGACCACTGTGTTTTTTTTTCAGGGGCGATGTTGATATCAATTATTTGTGATGAAGAAAGGCCGGTAACTGATACTTGGAACTGAAATACATTAAAAGCTATTTATTTATTTATTTATTTAACAACACAAGATAGTAGTGAACCCTTCATTCATAACTATGTGTGTTCATTAATAAGGATTGCTATTACTGAATTTATACATAAATACATTAAATGTTTTATATTGCCAGCATGTGATGGAAGGAAACCTGTCATTTATAACTAGACTACTTCATTGATACGATTTCTTGCAATTGAATTTGTATATTAGAAATTGGGGAGATGATGTTTGAGCATCATGTGACGCTGCGACGCTCTCCTGTTTACTGTGAGGTCAACTGATTGAGATCAATAACAGTTTGGGTCGTACAGTTCTGTCTGCTGTTCTTCTCTGTGTAGTTAATCTTTCTCTGTTTTATCACTTTAGTGACAAAACAGAGAAAGTTTCACGCAGGCCCAGATCTTTATTTGCAGCATTTGTTATTGTTTTTAAGGTAATCGTAGCCTTAGCCACTGTGAAAGCAGCTCATGTCCTGGTTTGTGACAACGGCTGCTCTTCTTGTTTAGTTTTTGCAGATTGTGTGTCTGTGTCTGTCAGGTAGAACAGAGCATTGAAGCAAGTCTTACTTAAGGGAGATGTTATGATACTCGAGATAGAGTTACCTGCAAGCTAAAAGGCACAGCAGACCTCTTAGCAATAGCCGTAGCTCAACATCATCGACAAAATAAATTGTAACTGTACCACTTGTTTAATTATTGGGGCCTTTTCTGTATGCCAGGCATACGAGGCATGCGTAATGGAAGACGTAAAATGATGCATGATGAAGTTCATCAGGTAGAACTCCTCAGAATTTAGCCAAAGAACCTGCATTACTTTGCTTCTGTGCACTTTGGTTGAGCTCAGCAACAGACTGAACTGGAAATGTTCCTCTGAGACTGCCCAGTAGCAGACTAGCTAGTATGCTAATTTTGTGTATGTACACTGGGCTAGACAGAGCATGAGTTTCAGTTCATCCTGTGCTCCTTGAGTTCTCCTGCTGAGATCAGAAGTGAACTTTTTAGTGAACTTTCCAGTACAGGTGGCACCATGTTGTTTTTATTTATTTTAATATACTCTATTAATCCTGGATAGGGGAAATTCTTTATTTGCAGCCCCAGGACGTTGGGCTCAACCACTTTAAGGTGCCATTGGAGCAGAATGGGTTAAGGGCCTTGCTCAGGGGCCCAGCAGTTACAACACTATGGTGCTGCTGCTTGAACCCCTCGACCTTTCCATCAGTAGCCCAAAGCCTTCACCACTGAGCCACCACGAATGAGCTGAAAGTCATTTACACATTGGATCGTGACAACGCCACCTACTCTGTTACCATAGAAGTCCACTCACTTGTATCCTTGCATTTTATTTTATTTCTTGTTTGTACAATTTTCAGACATTTTCCAAAGGTAATTGTTAAAATAACTGCCAGGTTCATCCCCAGTAAAAATAATCATTAGCTGCGGTTATTGTTGTTGTGGTCGGGTTAAACACTTTGATAGAATTAAAATCATTGTCTGCTTCCTGGTAGTGAGTCAGCTGAGGGAATCCTGCATCGCCTCCAGTCTGTGCTCATGGTAACATTGTCAAAAAATGTGAAAGTGAAGCGTACAAATGTGATGACACTTTCCTCTTGTATGTTGTAGTGCTTAGGAGATTAATTTTTGACCTTCTCCCCCCTCTTCATCCTTCTTCCCTCTCTCCTAAGTTGCTTGCCCCTGAGCTGCTCCCACAACCACGCTGGCAGAAGCGCTGGTGACATGTGGCATTCTGATATCTGTCACCTTCTGTTTGCTCCCGCCAACGCCTTTTACAAGTTTACCAAAGGGCTGGAAAGGTCACGCAGCCTGCTCTGTGCATTTTTCACACATCGTATCAAGGGGCTCGTTCTGGTTTATTTTTGAGTGGGTTTTTTTTTTGTGTTTGTTTGTTTTAATTGTGGAAGGTGAGTGTCTCAGCCTGCACAACAAATCGTGTGGTGAGGAGGGGTGAGGAGTCCTTTAGTCCGTGGCCCAGTGCCAGATTGTTGGTGATATAACTTGGCAGACGAAGGAAGAGAACTCTGTAGCTCTGTGAACTTAAAAAGCTCAGACCGAATGATTAGAAGAATGCATTTATGTAAATAAGATATTTCATGCCTCCGTGCCAGCGAAGGCCCTGGCTGGAGGCATTATGTTTTTGGGTTGTTCATTCCTCCGTCCCTCCGTCCCTCCGGTCGTCCCACACTCTCATGAAGGCGGTATCTCAGGAATGCCTTGAGGGAATTTCTTCAAATGTGGCACAAATGGTCAAGGTCATTGTGACCTCACAGAACATGTTTTTGTCCATAACTCAAGAATTCAAATCTAACTTCACACAAATGTTTCGTAGGATAAAATGATGACATTTTATATCTAAAAGGTCGACTTCACGACAACATACCATTCTGCAACAAGTCTTTCAGGAACTGGACGAGGGATTGTGACCGTAGTTTACACTCGATTGGATCCTGAATCAGTGACACTAATTTGGGGTGCCCACGTTGAAACTGATTGTGTTGATCTTCTGTGCTGTTGAAGATAGGTGTGAATTTTTTAATAGTTGCAGCTTCTGTGCAGCGTTTGAAGCGCCGTCTTTTGTCATGGCTGCAACCTTTTTGCTTTTTTTTAAAGTTATTTTTTTGGCCTTTGTGCCTTTATTGGATAGTGTAGTAGTTAGAGAGAGACAGGAAAGTAGGGGAGAAGAATGGGGGGGAGGACATGTGGGAAAGGGCCATGAGCGGGAATTGAACTCATGACCTCCACATCGGGACTGTAGCCCTGCACATGGGACGCCAGCTCAACCAGGTGAGCTATAGCGGCGCCCAACCTTTTTGCTTTTTAAGCGCGTGAACACATACAAAGAATTTTTTGGTTCTGTCAATTACCGACTTCAAAGTCTTCAGCACACCCATAAGTCCGGACAGACATGGATGTAAACTTCAACTTCAGTGGCAGGTGGAGGTATTTAACGGGGCGAGGGTAATTTATTGGTTTTATCGTTGCTCTAGCTCTGTTTTAACCACAGAACAACACCCATGAACCCAAAGGTATTTATTAGCCGCCAAGACAACGAAAGTCATAATTACAAGGTTTACATACATACATAAGAAGATGACACTGGTCTACGCCCATTTTGGTGTCAAAGATTTTTGAGCTGATTTTGGACAATTGCAATGAGCTGAATCCAAATATTACATTGGTTTTGCCTCAATGAGGTCAAAATTTTGATTTGATGAAACATGCACTTTACTTGTATTTACCTTTACAAATGCTTATGCTCATTGATTTTTGGATAATTTAGATTATGAAAAGGATTAGAAAATGAAAGTTTTCCTCTAAAATATGATTTTATATGAGAAATACTAAAATAAATCAATCGCTTATGTGAAAAAATGCAATCAATTTAGTGGTAAAATAGATTTTTAAAAATCGAGTTGACATTAAAACCTGACCTGATACAGAAAAGCAGACGTCATGTTTGGATTCAGCGTTGCAAAAATGTCCTAAATCAGTTTAAAAAATCCTAGACACCTTCAAAAAAGTATTTATTTATAACCCAGTGTTATCAATCCACATTATACTACAGATAAAACATTACATGCTACCTGTGCTAATTTAAAGTTGATGTCTAGTGGAAGCGTGGAACCACTTTTGTCAAAAAATCCTCCCAGGCCCGGCGTGATGCTGTTCTGCTAACTGCAGCAGGTTCGACTCGACAACTTGCTGCCTTTCTACTTTTTAAAATTGATTGGGGCAAACATTGCAGTCCCAACCCTCGAGGTTTTCTTTGAGTACCTATGTAGAAACCATGAGGTGCAGATTTTTCTCTATCTATAGTCTTTAGTGAGGCAGGTGCTTGAGTTAAGTGAATGCACATTCCTTCAGACCTTTCACAGCGTGACACATCAGCCTAATCATCAGTCAAATCATCAGCAGCCTAGAGCAGCCTCTCAGCAAAACAAACTACAGACGCTGGGCTTTACCACAGTTTCACCCACATCGCTCAGCCCTCATCTTTTCCTCTTTCAGTAATGTGGAGATAGTTGCACTTCAATGACAGCATTACAGCAAAATGTCTGTAAATGATGTGCTATTTGTTTCTCCCTTGTGCAGAGAGTCAGGGCACATGCACGCAGGCTTTGTGAACATGAATGTGTGTGTGTGTGTGTGTGTGTGTGTCTGTGTGTGTGTGTGTGTGTGTGTCTGTGTGTGTGTCTGTGTGTGTGTCTGTGTGTGTGTGTGTGTGTGTGTGAACATTAATGTATTTAAGCCTCTGCTCTGGCAACAGCTGTGGCCGGAGCCACGGTGCTCGGGGTTTTCAGTCCATCCTATTCTAACAAACGATTGAATACAAATTACTGTGACTTCACAGAACACCTTTTTGTGCTATAACTCAACTTGTAAACATGTTATCTCAGGAACTTTCAGATGTTGATTCGAACTTTAGATGTACGTAAACTGAAACCTGACTGTCGCACAACCGCAAGCCGGTAATTGTTGTTTCTTTCCTTTTCAGAAACCATTGCAGCCAGATATGGGCCACAATTCACTGGCTAACTTCCAGATTGAGAAGAAGATTGGACGTGGCCAGTTCAGTGAGGTTTATCGAGCGAGGTACCTGTTAGACAACACATCAGTGGCCCTGAAGAAAGTTCAGGTAAGACACAGTAAATTTATCCCTTTAAATAGGAAGTACAGTGAATATATTTACCCAAAGCTCAGTTTGTCACAGGGACATCACTAATGCACTCACACTTCTGGGTGTTTTGGCACTTCAGAATTCACCTCATCTGCATGTAGGATATTCTACAGTTGTAGAAAGCAGCAGATCCACCTGCTGCTACTGTGGATAGGAGAGCTGAATGATTTTGGTAAATTATCTAATTGTAATTTTTTTGATAGATAGTGGGAGTTAATTTGTGATATAATTTTATAAATCAAGCTTTGGTTCAGTATTTACTGGGCAACAGATTTAAAACATGTGAGGGAGCATTACCACACAAGACACCCTGACAACCTGAAAAGTCTCAGAAGGAGGACATGAGTTTGTCAGGATGCTGGAATGACAGATTAAACCCGAGTCAGACATGCTGCATAATGAATATGCTCAAATGCTGCCTTGGTGATTTGCTAATTGCATTGTTTTAAAGCACAGTTTCATTTGAAGCTGATTAATCATTCAGACCTTTTTGCTACACAAACACAAGTTGCTCCAGCTTCAGTAAGCCCAGCAAAGTGGACTTTTTAAATCTGTTGTCCACGTTGTTAGAGAAGAACCACTGCTATGTCCATACACCTAAACATACATGTGAACTGTGTTGGTTAATATTGACTCTGCAGTTCTCTTGGTGAATTTGCACATACATAGATACATGATGCAGTATTCACCGGCTTATACAGACTGCTCAGAGGATATGCGGCTGTGATTGAGCATCTGCACACGTAGCTACACCTTACACAGGGGTATGTGTGTGTTACTCAGTTGTGAACACCTGTAGTTACTCGTGCGCCGCCCTCTAGATAACAGCAACCATGTTCTCTGTTTAGTGTTTTTTTTTTTTTCATAGTTTCTCTACATCTCTCCATCTTACAATTTTTTGAATATGTCATAACACCCATCTCTGTCCTCTCTCTCTCTCTCCCTCTCCCCTTTTGATCTCTTGATAGATATTCGACTTGATGGATGCCAAAGCTCGGCAAGATTGCATCAAAGAGATAGATCTCCTTAAGGTAAAGAACCAGAGAAGAGGGAGACGGCGCCATGCGCTGTGCTCTGTTCTCTTAAGGTGCCTCAGCTGAGACCTTCCACCACAGGAAAACAATTGATCTGCACCAGACGGCATGGATTTGTGTGTTGTGTGTGCGTGCATTTCCTTCGATGGTTACAGATGCAGAGGGTGTTTGTGTACGCAAGTGAGAATCTGAATGAGAATGTGTGTGTGACGGTACAGTATGTGTGTATTACCCTCTTCTTGTGTGTGTACGTGTGTGTGTATTTCGGGGTACAACAGTGTTACATCCCTCCAGGCTCACATTGGCTCTTTTTTTAATGCCAAAACTATTGTTTTTTTTTTTTTAAATCCTTTTGAAATGTTTAAAGCCAGGCAACAGTGCATCTGCATGGAAATTTAGCAGCTTCTCTCATGTGTCTCTTCCCTTTCTTCATTCTGGCTTTCCTTTTTTTTCCCAATGAAGTGGTTTCATTTATTAAACTACCTTAAACATGTGTCAACTGAGCTGCTCTCAAATACTAATGAACAAACTAATGACAGCTTCAATATCGCTGCCTGTCTGAGAGATCCTAGATGTGTGTCAGAGTTCTGTGTTTGTTGTTTGACTGTGTGCGTGTGTGCATGTGTGCAGTTCTGCTAGTGTTCCTCTCCACATATGCAGCCTTTCTGCATGTGAATGTGTGCACTGCAGGCATTTTGTGCACATGTGCACGCTCGCACGTACACATTAGGGAAAACAAGAAAACAAAACCAATTAGTTTGTGCCACTCAAACACTTCATTGAAGCTCCTGGGGCTCCTTGGGCCAATCAAAGACAGCCATACTCAGACGCAGACGAGTCCCTGCAGAGAGCTGTAATCTGAGGAGCAGATCATTGACTTGACGCATGAGACAGCAGGGTTTTCCTGATTTGTACTTCTGACCTCCTAAGAGGGGTCAGTACAGGGTTAAATGTCACACTCTGCCAGGTGACTGTGTTTCTCATTTCCTTTAAACATCTCCTACATTTCCTTTTTCTTCCTGTATCAAATCCTCTTCCTTCACCTTTTTGCTGTGTCCTTCTCCCCTCTGCTTTTCCTTATCTGTCCTGTCCATCCATTATCTATACACTCCTTAATCCTCAGTCGGGTCGCGGGGGGGCTGGAGCCTATCCCAGCCGACTTAGGGCAAAGGCAGGGCCTGTCTGTCCTGTCTATACCTTTTTGGCCAGTTTCTATGTTTGCTTCATTTTTCCCACTCAGAGCTTTTTATTCCCTACTTTTCATCCTGCGAGCTGATTGCCTGTGAACATGGAAGTTATGCCTGGCCCTGCGCTGCCCAGCCAGCCCGATAATAAAAGACTGAGTGTGAGAGAGACAGTCCTTCTGCCTTATCCCCCACTAGACAGGCCAACAGGAGACACAGCCAAATCAGAATAATGAGAGGCACGCTGGCATGGGCCGACTGGAATGACACACATAGTCGCACATGGTCATACGCACACACACACACACATGTACTCAGTCACGGCCTTTCAACAGCATGCCTATTTATTTGTTTGTCTGTCTGCCTGTGTTTGTGTCTGCTTATTCATCTGTATTTCCTCGCTCTGGCATTATCATTTCAACTTGAGAATCTCACTTCTGTCTTTGTCCTTTCGTCTAAATCCTCGCTGATAGGGATGTCGGTTGCAGAAATGGCCTGTTCCCTGTCTGCCAGTCTGCTAATTTTGCCGTTCTTGAAACCTCACAGCTGCATATACCTCTGGCTTGTGGTTAGCATCGAGCCTGAATTGTTTTTTTTGACTAATGATGTGCCCTAATCAGGAGCGAAAAGCTGCGACGATGCATGCTTACTTTTCTGTATTTGTGTAAAAATGTGTGGTATGTGTTTGCATGTATGCCTGGGTTCTGCTTCTGATTAGATTATAGCAGCAGTTTACTGACAAGACAGAGAGTTGGCAGCAACTAGCTTCACTTAACCTGATACACACACACACACACTATGAATTTAATTTAATTAGGTTTATATATATGTTCTTTCTGTATTCAGTATATCTTTTTGCTGGTTTAGTACATATTTAGTTCCGATTGTTATCAACAGACAACCAAAATTGTATTTTTTTAATTTCCTGAAGTGAAAAATATCCGGTTAAAATTCAAAGCAACTGTACATGACTTGAAAACAGACACATTCAGATTAGCGCTGCGTGACCACAGTGATTTGGGACATATATTTTTACGGTTTTATGATGCTGACCTAATTTAAATTCTCTTGTTACAGAGGTACCTAATCTCAATAAGGTGTTTACGGTTTAAAAAAAGGCTAAACACATCAAAGACATTTTAATATACGTCCTGCAATAGAAGCTGCTTTTCATAACAAATGTAGAATATAACAGAAAATCTTTTCATTCATTGATGTTCATGTTTTTACCAGCTTTGCCTTTTTAATTACACTATAAAATAATTTACTAGCATGCTTAATTTGTGTGCCTTCAGATTGCATTAGTCAGTACCTTGTTCTTCTTTGAAGCACATCACCAGCTCAACAAACGTATCACATAGGGTCTTGCATGATTAAGTAATTACACACGCTGGTAGGTCTCAGCCAGCATGTGTAATTACATAATCATGCAAGACTGTATGTGATATTTCCCAATGAATGATTGTTGTATTGCGGTAGAGTCCCATCCATCATTTACATAAACATCTGCATGTGAACACATCTCTTCATTCCTCTGTATCCTCCGCCTGAGGTTCAAGTTGCGGAAGAGCAGTGGGTTGTGGCGGGCGAGCGGGGGGGACTTGTCATCACTCCTCGGCTGTGCTACAGTGTGGAGCTGTGCAGAACTGCCACTCTGAGCCAAAAATACATCTGGCAAGAAGGGACAAGGGGAGGGAGAAGAAAAGATGGAGACATGAGGAAGGGAAAGAGAGAACGAATGAGAAAGAGGATTGCGGAGGGATGCAGAGATGGAGTGGAGAGTGTAGTGTAGCGTAGTGTACTGTACTGTGCTCTCCTTTCCCCTCTTCTCGGCATCATCCAGAGCATGAACATTTCTTTAATCACAGCAGAGAAAGCAGAGCGGAGCCGAGCGGAGGACGCGTGTCACACCGCTCCGTCTGCTCACATCACGGCTCCAACTCTCCACGTATCACCGTCTCTCCCCTATCCCTCCCCCTGTCTCCAGCTCAGCTTACCTTATCCATCTCCTCCTTTTTTTCCTCCCTCACCTTTGTACTTTCTGCCCGGCTCTTCACCTCGCCCTGTCTCGATCATTCTCTTAGCGTGTCTGTGTCACTGTGTCATTTGCTTCTTTCCGTTCAGCGCTCCTCCTTCCCTCCCTCCCCCACTTTTCTTCTTTTCTTGCTCTGGATGGATAGAAAGTTTTTGTTTACTACAGGGAATGCTGTTCCTGCCTTATTGACCAACCAACAGGAAGGAATCTCAGCCAGAGATGAGCCTAGGATTCTTGTTTTTCTGACTGCCAGCCATGTCAGCCTGTCAGGCGTGTGTGTGTCTGTGTGTGTCTCACACATGGCTTGTTGTCATCGTAGACAGGGGGTTGTTGTGACATGTCACCCAGCTTTGTCACACTTGAGGACAAAACCGTCTCATTAGGTTCACACGTGCCAAATATGGATTCCATGTCTGGTTTCAACAGTTTTGTTTTAATTGGTGGTTAAAGTACAGTGAATTGCACATGATGTAAATCTGGTATTCATGATAAGGTTGTTTTGATATAAAGAGTGTAATAAGTCTGCAAGAAACTGGGGGACGTGACCAGAGACCCTTATACTCTGACAAGTGCCACTGCCATGTCTACTGTGTTTTTTCTTTCCTTTTTCAATGACATGTCTTTTTTTCTTTTTTCTTTTTCCTCCAACAGCAATTGAACCACCCCAATGTGATAAAGTACCATGCTTCTTTTATTGAGGACAATGAGCTGAACATAGTACTGGAGCTAGCAGATGCTGGGGACCTCTCTCGTATGATCAAGGTAAGGAACTCGCCACAACAGCTGAACTCGTAGCTCAAATACTCGCCCAGACAGCAGAAAGAGCAGCTGAGTTGTGGTCATGCAATACTCTGAACACTCAGCCTCGGAGCCTTTAAGGGAACAGGCTCAAAGTGAAAATAAATAGTTTGTTGGTTTGTCAGATAAACCAAACACTTTGCAGTTTTATCAGGAAAGAAATTCTGGTACCAACATTTATTTGTAGTTTACCGGTTGTCATTGTCTTTTGTTATTTGGTTTATTTCGTTTTAAGTCCCAGACAGCAATCAGAGTATTTAGATGTCACCAAACGTGTACCCTGTTGAATGAATAATGGTTTATCCAACTGGAATCACTTCCATAAAACATCTTAGAGACGTGTAACTAGTTTTAATAAAAGCTTAGACCTTGAGGGATGTTATCTGACGGCAATCCTGGCCAGTCCAGCGTCATATCATACATTCGGCATCAGCAGGAATGCTTTCATGGAAGCAACAAAGTGCTGACGAGGCCTTTCATAACTTGAGGAATGACGGCTGGAGGTCTGTGGTTTGTGGCCGCTACAGAACTTTGACTACCTTGACGCTGAGTCAATCTGAATCATCCATTCCATACTGAAACCAATACTCGACTAATGGAAGGCTTCCTGCAGCCTCCTTTCATCCCAGCAGCATGTGTTGACATCTGTGAGCCCTGGAAAGGACATTGTTAAGAATCAAGCAATGATTATTTGTCATAAAGCTCCAGCATGTGTTAGCAAACATTTAACATTATCTGGATTTAATCTTTCGCTGTCCTCATATCTTTTACAAGTCAGGTGGGGTAAGGTATTTGCAATAAAGGCTGTCATTTATGGCAAGATTTTTCTCACAGATTGGGGGCACTTTAGGTTTCTATTATGTTTTTCTCATGTACATTGCTGTTGTTTCTTCAATGGCAACAGGTCATTTGAACATCTCTGTAAGTCCTTCAGTGGTTCTAACCAGTAAAGTCAGTATTGAGTATAAATGAAACTAAATTTATAATAGCATTAGGTACATAATGTGTCGCTTTTAGCCACAAGTTGATCATGTATTAAACCTCATTCTGTTAGTGTCTAAGCCTCCACACTGGCTGTTGTCGGAGGCTTTATGTTTTAGGGTGTTCGTCCTTCCATTGCATCCTCATTATTTTTGACATCTCAGTGAAGTTCACATGGACTCAGCAATAAACTAATTAGGTTTTGGTGGTCAAAAGTCAAGGAATTTGTGACCTTACATCCATCCCATTCTTGTGAACAAGATACATCAAGGACACATTGAGGATATTTCATGATATCTGGCACCAACATCCACTCGGATGCAGGGAGGAACTGATTAGAAGGTAGTGTTCAAAGATCAAGGTCACTGTGACCTCACAAAATATACTTTTGGCCATAATTCAAGAATTCCTGCACTAGTTAGAACAACGTTTCATACAAATGTCTAATTATAACAAAAATGATGAGGTAATGGCTTTCTATATTTTAAATGTTAAAGGTCAAGGCCACTTTGACCTCATGTCCATCTCATTCTTGTGAACACAGTACATCAGGAACACCTGGGAGAACTTTCATTGCATCTGCTGCAAATGTCCAGTTGGACTCCAAGATGAACTTAGTAGATTTTGGTGGTTCAAGGTCAAGGCCAAAGTGACTTTAAAATAACAGTACTGAATTCTTTCAGAGTCTTCTTTACTAATATTGTATAAGTCTAGACAGACGTGGATGTAAACTGTAATTTGACTGGTCGGCGGAGGCATGCAGCTGCAAAGCAGTAATTCTAGTTTAAAGCAGGAATTTTGTTGGAGCAGAAGACAGAACAGGGTTGTTCAAAAGTGTTAGCGATTATATCCCAGGCTCAGCCTGTTTTCCGTCTTTGAGTTAGACCAAACCCCCAGTTATTATAAAAACCTGCCAGTATAGCAAATTAGTGGTGTGCATGTAAAAAGCCTGGTCTTCTCCCATGCATAAATGATGCTGCAGCGTTGTATCAGCACAGCTCGACAAGCTGTTTGCAGTCATACTCAGCAGCTCCACATCCGCACAGTTCAACACAGCAAATTAGGAGAGGCGAGGATTAGTGGTACAAGAGAGTGAACATGGCAGGCTCAGCGCACACACACACACACACACACACACACACACACACACACACACACACAGAGACACTGATATTCAGCGCACACACACACACCCTCACACACTTAATACATACATATGGTGTACTGTGTAAGCAAAGAATGTGGAGACACAACCATGGAACCACACACTCACGCAAATGTTCAGAGAAACACTTTACAAAGACGTAACATGGCAGCCTGAAGAGGTAAGATAACATACCACTGAGCGTCACTACTATCTTAGCTAAGCTAGCGAGGATGCTGGGAGCATTCAGGCTGTGTCATATCCTTATGGCTGCTGACAACACCCACTCACATATACACGCCTCTTCTCTGCACCATTTGTCTTCTGCATTGTTCTAAATGATTTGTTTTTCCCCATGTATCAGTGGCAGTCCAGAGGTGCTCCCTGGGCCGTAATGTGAAGTAAACACATTCGTACAGTGTGCCATATGTAAAGCAGAACCCCCCTGATGCATGAATTTAACATTTTTTATTCTTTTTGATTTCTTGTCCTCCTTGCCGCTCTCTCCTCCGTTCTCTCTCTCTCTCTCCCTCACTTCTCTATTACTGTCTCTCTGACCATCTCAGAATTCAAATGAAATCAAATGGTCCTTGATTTGCATGCACTTACAGAATATTGCATGTGCAGTGTTTGCTGTTAAAGGCATGGAGAAGAGGGTGGTGGTGGTGTTGGTGGGTGTCTATGTGCTCCCCCATTGACATCAAACAGTCCTCTGATATGGAAATGGGAGGGCAAGCGAAGAATGGCTTCTCACTGAGGCTTTGTTTGGATGTAGGCCAAGGTCTATCCCTCCCTCTCTCCAGCTATCTCTATCCCTCTCTTTCTCTCACACCTTCCTTCATTTTCTGTATTTCATACACTCACCTACCTCATATCTTCGACTGCCATCCATTGTTTCCCTATTTGCTCTTTTATGTCTTTTTGTCCACATTGTTTAGAGAACCTACAGAACCTACAGTAATTCTAACGGTCCTGTTCTTTGTCATCCGTGGCCCCTGACCTCACCTCCATCCTAGAGCTATAGCAGAAAAAAAGTTATTTCTTACTACACGAGAAAATGAAGTTTTTCTGTCCTAAATCCCAATTTGTTGAAGCTAGTGCTGTATTTGTGTTGTTGAGACTGTCAGAGGTCCTGATTGAGCTTGATATCCATGTTTAAGGTTGTAATTTGTAGTGTTGCTTTGCCAATATCTGTGCCAAGCGCATGCCTGTGACCACTGTTCTCTCAGTGCTAATGTAGTTTTCCTGTTTGGGTTGTATTAGAGCTGGCACACACTGATGACGCTGACCCTGAAAATATGTTGACATTTTTAATTTCATGCATGTTTTTTTTTTTTTAACTTAAGTTGATTATAACAAATGTTTTTCTGTGTAAGTGTAGCGTCATGACGTCAGTCTTTTTTGGCTCCAGTCATTAACTTGCTGCTGCGCTCGCACCAAGTCTTAGACAATCGTGGCGAAAAGTCAAGCTCTGATCAGTGTAAAAGTTTCCAGGGCTTTGAAAGTACGGGACTTCTTTACATTATCACAGAACAAGGTGGTTTGTACACTGTTTGGGTTGCAGACAACAGCAGCGTTACCTCAACGTACCCGAAGAGAAAACGCACAGAGACACTTCTACATCTGTTTGCTTTCCTCCTACTCTCTGTGCTCAAACATGCCGTATTTTAATGTCGCCAAATTCCAAAATGAAGCTGTTCTCATTTACAGTTTTTATGTCAGACAACAGAACAAGTAGTGCCTGAAACGCCGCTCAATATTACTACATCATCAACCAGCCGTCACCTCCAAGCTGCAGCTCTGCAACGCTGAAGTATTAGTTTTATAACCTTGATGCCGTCTCTCAAACTCACCATAACTTAAAAACTACAGCCGTGTTTTTATGAAATTCAAGGCCAGCAATTACAGAATAGGAAGAGGAGGAGATGCTTTAACTGGTCTGTGCTGGTGAAAGTGTCCACCATGTTTATGTGACATGAAGACCGAATGATTTGACTTCAAGGGGTTTCATACAAACTTTCATTTAGTTACTGACTTAAATATTAAACCTTTGTCTTAATTTATTTTTATCATGCTGAAGTTGCCAGTTTAACCCGACAGTTTTGCACTTCAGTATGTAAACATTCTTTATCATTTTGTACAATATGATACACAGCTTGTCAAAGTTCATTTGGCCTTTTTGGAGGAAAATTAATCATTTAAATGAATTGATTTGTCAGTAAAAAACAAAGAAAGATTGGCATATGTTATCATCATTTAGTGGAGTTTGTTGCACCAGCAGTTCACGCAGGTCGTTGTAAACCAGGCAGAGTTATACATATAAACAGTCCTAACATGTAGTGTATCTCAGAAATACCCTCATTACAACATAAATGACTGTCATGGGTGTTCCTTTACTTGAGCCAGGCTGCAGCAGTTGTTGATTTCATAGCTCTGATTTATACGGCTGCTGATGCTTTGGGAATGTTAACTTACGGTAATGTTGTACCTAAAGTTGTTCCAGGTAAGAGTCTCGGCTAAATGCTTAAATTGTAATTGTCATGTGCAGGGCTATTATCCGAGCTGGCTTAAGTCCAGGCTTTTCTTTCCTGAAAATGGAACCACAAGGACACTCCATAAAACCTGATGGTAGCCATGCTTCTTAGTCTACGCCGCTGCTGTTCGAGGAGGAGTTCCCATCATCAGTTGTTGATTTTAGTCGCTGTGGATCAATAAGTCTCGGTTGAAGCTTTGTCATCGCCGTGGCGTTTCTGGAGAGGGAGCGCGGTCTTGATTATTGAGAACAACTCACTCAGCCCTCCACAATAGATATATAAGTACACTTTAAAAAACGACACAAACCGCCACTGAAAGCTGTACCTAAGAAAAGTGCTGCGAGCCAGATGGGAGAGTTTTGGACGGTGCCACAAATTTCTTCTCTCTGTTCCTGAGAATGCATGTGCTTTCCATTGTAGGCCGTAGAGAAAATGAGACGGTGCTTGGTTAGGCAAGGGACAGACCTAAGAGAGAGGTCTGGATTGCATTAGTAGTGGAGTCACTGAGAATTGGGAAGCATACTGTACAAACACACACATGCACGTATACATGCACACGTTTCTACCGTCTTAAAACTGTGTTCAGCGCCACATAAGACTTTTTTCCCCATTTATAGTAAAATGTTTTATTTGTGCCTTCTTTCAGTTGTATGCTGCTGTTACTTCGATTCTCTGATTGTGTGTGTGTATGTGTGTGTGTGTGTGTGTATGTGTGTGTGTGCATGCTTTTACTTTGCAGCACTTTAAGAAGCAGAGGAGGCTTATCCCAGAGAGAACAGTGTGGAAGTACTTCGTCCAGCTCTGCAGTGCGCTTGAACATATGCACTCCCGGAGAGTCATGCACAGAGGTAGCGTTGCTGTACACACACACACACCTACACACACACACACACACACACACACACATATATACCACGAAGATCTTTAGGAGTTTTTTTAATCCATTCTAAGTGTATGTAATCTATTAAACCTCTTGTATTTGGACCATTTTGCAGTAACACCAGTTAAACGGTGCCACTATGAATGTTTTAGAGTACTAATAGAATAATGTGTGCCCCAGAGAAGCTTCACAGAAAACCAGTTGCTGAGTGTATTATCACGCAACAGGAGCAAATGTTTATTTATTTATTTTTATTAAACTGAATAGTTGCTCTCTGTGATAGATTATCTGCCTCAGTAGCATCTGCAGGTTAATTTTAGCAGCATGCTAAATTGAACTAAACCCAGTGGATGGCTGCAAAGTTGTAATTTAATCTTAAGAAGATGCAATATACGAAAAAATATCTTCCCATGATTTAGATTATGCACATTTTGTAATTTACAAAATAAAATACTATTCTTTTGGTAAAGTTTAAGTCATAAAAAGAAGAAGAAAAAAAAACGCATGCATGAAGCCAGTGAATTTTCTTTAGTGTGAATGGCCGTGTTTCATATGACAGGAGGCTTAAGCGTAGGTGTTAAACAATACATAGACCAGAGAACACAGTGTTTATGGGCCCACATGCTTTCAATAGGGCCCAGTCAAATCAAGTCCTGGATTCATGTGCGCAGACCGCTGCACACACGGAGACACACACTCAGCTACAGGTGATGTACTTCCGTTTGGACTGACTTTGATTAGGGCACAGGGACACTAATGAACCCTGAGCCTGAGCTTTAACGACCACTTAGCAGAGACCGCCTATTCAAAAGCCACTTACAATTATACGGGAGCAGTAAATTTCAAAGGCTGATGCGGGTCACATTAACATTACTTCAGAAAACTGCTCGCTAACGCCCACATTAACTGAAATTATATTTTCAATAATACACTTATTGCCTGCAGTCCAGTTATGTTTAATGAATAGAGACTAAAAGCAAAGATGTCTTAAATTGATATGGGTAATAATTGTGATTTAAATAATTTTAAGTCAGTCGCTGTTCCTCTCCTGTCTTCTTTGCTTCTCTGCCAGATATCAAGCCAGCCAATGTATTCATCACAGCTACCGGTGTAGTGAAACTCGGAGACTTGGGACTGGGGCGATTCTTCAGCTCCAAAACAACCGCTGCTCACTCACTAGGTAACTTACAGTCACTCACTAACAGTCAGTATGTGCATATACACACACACACACACAGCAACCCCCAGTAATCTCACAGTGTTGGATGTGTTTCATTAGCCATGGTGAGCCCAAAGCCATGTGTCATGTAGTCATTCTGGCCGGCCAGCGCTGTGCCCAGCCCCTTCACAGGCCACTTAGCCGCTTCCTGTTGCCTTGACCTTCAACCCCGACACAGATGAGGACTGAGGCCTTCGACACACAGCTCCGATTGTGACTTTGTGCTATAAAACATGCCGGCCAGCTTTACAATCAGGGTGATTGTTCGCGTTGATGGGTGTGTTTGTCACTTGTAGGAAATAAAATCGTATAACACTGTTTTTGTTCAAAGGAGTGAGAATTGTCGCTCTGAACTGCTGCAGTAATTAAAGCTTGTCCACTTGACACAAACGTGTGCTGAACCTGAGCCTGTATGGACGGACAAACAGAATGACACCACATGTTTGAATGCGTTCTTTAATGTGTAGGGCGTTTAATCACTATGAGTTCTGTACTGTAAATCTCTAGGAGTCAAGGCCGTAACTGTAAGAAGAGGTGACATTACAGGGGGTTGCTGTAGCTCGCCTCTCTTTACAGGCGTACACACCCTCATATACTCACATCGACTTCGTTTAAAGTGTGTCCTACTGTTTAAAACAAGCCTTCCTCTTAAGAATTTTGTAACGGCTTTCTTCCTCACAGTTTCTCCGCTCCTGCATCTTCCCATATTTTATTGTAAAGTCAGGAATCAGTCAGAGCACGTTGGGTGTGTTGTAAAGAACTGAAAGTTTGGGACGACCGGATTGACGAGTGGTAGGAGATCAGATAACCAAGTCCCTGGTTCGGCTCCGTCCCTTTCCTTTCTGTCTCTATTGTACAGTTGAAATAAAGGCAAAATTCTAAAACAGTAATCTTTAAAAAAAAAAAAAAAAGAAAACTGCTATCCACCATCCCCTTTCAAATTTCAGCCGCTTCATAGATCGGAAATGTGGAAAAGCGAATTCTATAGACAAACGTAAGCAATGCCATTCACACTGTCACACTTCCCTATGTCAGACTGTTTATTACGACAAACACTGTGCTATTCTCAGCCCCTGTAGAGCAGCAGCACAGCTTTTTGAGAAAGTGTGAATCACGTGATGGACTCAACAGAAGCCCTACCAGCTAAGCATCCTGCAGTGCCAGCAGAGCGGGGTGAAGACGTCTGTGATTGCTCATTAAACACTGAGTCCACAGCACCCTCTTTAGGCTGACAGAGGACAGGCAGCCCCACAAGCAGATGGGGGTCAACCTGAATGCTCTCATCATTATTTCAATGAGTCAAGGCTTCGGATTAAATACACAAACAAGTTTTATTTCTTACAGTGCGGAGTGAATGTGAGTCATATACAGTGGTGTGAAATGATAATCCTTGTTTTTCAATTAGTTCCTTTCACAGTACAGCAAACTAAAAACCAAAAACAACTTTAAAACAACAGCAGTTCTCCTAAGTGCAGGTCGGACGTTCTGGCCGTCTTGTAGAACTCACCACGTCTCGTGTGTGGACCGTCTCCCCTGAATGTGAATAAGCGTGTGAAGTATGCATGTAAGTTGTCTGTAACTTTCCAAACCGTATGCAGATATCTGTGCATCATCTTGTACCGTCGAAGCAGATGATCTCTGTAGGTTAGCGTGACCTTTCGACACGGGGGACTTGGAGTGCGCCATGCTTTTACCCTCTCTGGCCGTCTCTCCCGTTGACATTTCCTACTGTGTGCGTTTCAAATAGCAGATCTACTCTGTCTTTCTCTGTCGCACACCCCCTCCTCTCTCTCTTCTCTCCTGCTGCTGTTTCTGTATCTTTCTTATCCTCACTTCTCCTTCCCTCTGTCCCTCCCTATGGTGTTGACTTAGACGGAGAAAGGTGAAGGTGTGGGTGAAGCAGAGAGATGAGGAAGGTGTGAGACAACTAGAATTACAGAACAGAACACGGCAAACAGCGAGAAAGTGAAGTGAGGAAGAGAAGAGAAAGAAACGGGTGACAAATAGAGGAAGGATCTGAACTCCTGACACCTGCATTAAGGGGGTCTGGTGGTTGTGGGGGGGCAGTTTGCTGGCATGGATTTGCTCAATTTGGACCGTTAGAGGGAAGCAAATCAGTTTTTTGAGTTCATCCTGTGATGAAACCTTCCTGTCCTGATGTGAGAGGTCTCTTTCAGGATAATAATTCCCCCATCGAAAGGGCACAAGGGTTCACTGCACGGTTTATGTACGAAAAGGGTGTGACTCATTTACCGCGGCCTTTCCAGCCGAACCCCTATGTGAGATTTTAGACCGACATGTGCTCCCTACCACCACCATCAAATGAGGGAGTATCTTGAATGGCGCTTGTCCCTCCAGTAGACTTCCAGAGACTTGGAGAATCAATGCCAAGGTGCACTGACGCTGCTCTGGCTGCACGTGGTGGCCCAACACCTCACCAAAATGTTGGTGTTTCCTTTAATTTGTCACCTGTCTGTATGTCACAAAAAGAAAGACACCTAAGAAACAAAAGAATGGTTGACAATAAAACTCAAACAGAAAGGTAGACTGCAGCAAGTGCAAGAGAAGAGTGTGACAGACTGACAGAAATAAAAGAGGAGAAAAGAGAAAGCAGAGAAAGGAAAAAAAAAAAAAGTTCCAGGTAGCAGAGTAAGAGGAGAGAATATGACAATGTGACAGAAAAAAATGGAGGTGAAAGAGGAAAGTAAGAGTGAGAGAGAAGGATAGAAAGGCTGTGAGAAAGCTATGTGTGTGTGTTTCTGTGTGTGTGTGTCTGTGTGTGTGTGTGTGTGTCTGTGTGTGTCTGTGTGTGTGTGTGTGTAGTCTCGTGGATATGTAATGAGCACAGCCACCCAGCTGAACACCAGAGCAGGGTGCTGGAGCTGAGATGGAGGTCCAAGCACACAGCCTGTCAGCTCCCAAGCTTTCAACTCAGCTGCTCAGCAGTCTGCAGACCCACATACATACACACGGATGTGTATCCATGACTTTAGAGGACATTGCATTGACTTACAGCAATTTCCTGGATACCTACACTAAGGACCCCACAGCATGAGTAATGCCTGGACCACACACTTAACACACAGAGCCGAGCTTTTATGGCAATATTTGTGAGGATTCATTGACTGAATGCGTTCCCTCACTTCAAACCCTAACTATCACAGCTAAGTGCAAAACTCTCACCTAAACCTAATTTGAGCCTTAATCCTCCAACCAAGTCCTAACTCCCAGCCAAAATGTTCTCACTTCAATGCTCTTAAATGCAAACTGGTCCTCATAAAGATAGCTGTCCAAGTAACACAGATAGATACACCCTCACAGACAAGCATGCAGAAGACACACAAGTTGAGCGTTTCAGTGCTGAGGATGGATACGAGGGTTTGGCTTAAAGAGAGGAAAAGAACAACAGCAGAAAAAAAAGCGGATAGCAACAGGAAAGCTGATGCAATCATAAGAGAAACGAGCAACTTACTACTTATTACTGCCAATTGGCAGTAGCAAGTAATATAATATACCTGCAATTAACACCTGTAATGAGAAAGGTGTTAACGATGAGTACAGGGGGAAAGGGAGGAAAAGGAAAAAAGAGAGGAGGAAGGCATTGAAGCAGAAAGAATTTTGGTAGGTTGACGTTGGAAATAATTATGACTTAATGTGTATATACGGAATTGGTTATCTTATAAAGGCGAGTGAGTCATGAGCAGAGCGGGTGTTTGGGGAGCCGAACCAGGGGCGAGAACTCAGCAGGATATATAGATGGTTAAAAAACATGCTAGAGCTGTGGAGGAAATACAGTGAATGTGTCACGACTGCGAGTTCAGTCCAGCCTGCCTGTGCTGCTGTGCTGGAACTGTATGTCTTGTTTGTTTTAAACACGATGGAGCAGAGGTTTTCAAACTCCTACTCTGGGTCTGCATGAGAAATTCACTTGGCCTCATCAAGATTTGAGCAGAATCTTGCTTGCTGTGCAAAATGTAGAAATATAAACTGTGATGGAGGGAAGATTAGAGAAGGCTGAGACCATTAACAGTAACTCCCTCTGAAGTGTTTTGCGGCGTTTACATGGTGATGTAGAAGCTTTAGGTTTAAAGTGTTAATAAGGAAATAGCAGCGTGTCTTTGCAATCAAATCAATAAATGTATTTAAAATGACACAAGGTTCGGTTCACAGCACGTTCAGCAGGGGTTTAGAAGTGTGGAGTTCTTTATAGTGGATGGCATCTCACCTCCTATACAACAACGCTTATCCTGTTACGCAGAGAATACAGTGTTGTCGTTGCTATTCACAATAATGGAAATCAATCCCAACATGACTTTCAATTTATTTGCATGAATAAGTAATGTGCCCTTAATTCAGCATGCTGAAGGAGCCGGAGCCTCGTGCCGCTGCCTTTATTATGCAACTATTAGCATAAGAGAGGCTGATTCTTTTTAATCAACTAATAATGAATGTTAGGGGAGCCTGTACAGACCGCACCATGAGACCTCACAGCACACACACACACACACACACACACACACACA